TAGCAGCAGGTAGAAGGACTGTCCCCATCCCCTCCAGTCTCCCAGCGCTGGTTCTTAGGTGCTTGGAGCCACCTTGCCCTCTATCCTCATGAGGCCCCTTAGGACTCCCATTTCCCCGGATGATAAATTGTCCTAACCATGGTGCCCTACCTGTCAGCTGCTGCAGCAGCCATAGCCCCAGCTCGGCTGTCATCCCGGCCTTGTCTGAAGTGCAGCAGCTGGATCAGGTGTCTGGTGGTGTGGGAGCCTCAGAGCCTCTTTAAACTGTCTCACTTCTCAATGAGAGCACTTACCCAACATGCCTAGGCCCTGAGTTGGAATTTGAGCACTAGGGGTTCTAAGTTTCTCCAGTGAGAACAAAGGATCTGGGGCCACTTTTGGGAGTGAGTCCCTGTTGAATGTGGAGAGGCCCAGGAGAGGTGGCTAGAGCATCCAGCTTGCCATAAATACCTATGGATGCTTAGGACTTCCCACTTGGCCTTGTCCTAGCACATCCTGCCAACACCAGTGACATGAGCCACAGAACATTCACATTGTTCTAGGGGTACCTGGGCTGGAATGGAGCCTGGCACACGGGGTATGCTTGTCTCACTCCACACAGCTGTTCTCTTCCTTTGGTTCCAGGCTCTACACAGAGAACAGAGGGAGCTGCTGTCAGTGCTGAGGGCTCCCGAGTGAGGAGCCACTGGGCCCAAGCAGAGAGAAGTCTCTGCCCTGTAGCACACTTGTGGAGCCAGTCTCCAGGAGATAACGGAGTCCCCATCCACCACTTAGGGTCTAGTGGGGTCACACTACCTTGAGATTCCTGCCGTCATCTGCCTGTAAGACGGGGACTCCCACCCTTAGCATCAGACACCAGGCTTTGTCTCCTGGAGTTGCAGCCAGCACTGCCCCATGTCCTCCTGATTCCCTAGCCCTCCCTGGACTGGATTTGGGTTGTGTTTTAGTCTTCACTGATTGCTGCCCTGTTTACCAGCTCACGGTCCCTTGCCATGTTCTCCCCAACTGATTGCTGCCTTGCTGGCTAGCCCAAGGGCCCTTGCCATGTTCTCCCCACATCCGTAAATAAACTTCCTTTACCACACTGTAATCTGTGAGGACGCTTCCTTGCCAGGCGTCTGAGGTCAAGACCACTTCTGGGCTCCTGAACTCTTGTCTGAGGGCTCTGGAAGCCTGCAGCCAAGAGTGGGGTGTTCTGATATTACCCGGTGCAGAAGGCAGGAGGACCCAGGGCTCCCTGAGGTCAGGGCGCGCTGTCACTGGAGCTGGTGCTGCCCTGTGCTGCTCTCTGGGGCACAGGAAAGTGATGAGGCCTGCAATGTAGCCGAGCACAAGGACTTTACCTTGTCTCTCCCACCCCACTCTTCCCCCAGTCCTACCAGTGGGAGGGCCAGTCCTTCCTAGGATGGAGCAGACATTCCTCTCCTGCCTGAGAGCCTCACCTTAACCAGGAGCTGCTTGGTTAGATAGATCTGTCTGTGAGACCTTAAGGACAGAGAAGACACCATAGTGGTCTCTCCTCTGCCCTTGTCTCCATAAACAGCCTGGGCCCTTGTTCTAGCTGCTCTTCAGAAAGCTCCAGGGTTTATACCTCTGGGTACTCTGTCTACCATCTGATCCAGTACATCTCTTCCCCAGGGCATAATGGGCATTGAAGGAATAATAAATGTCTGGAAGGTCCCTGCATGTTCACCATCCTTCCAATGAACGATCTCTGAACTATGAGCCATATTAGAGGCCATGCCTACTCCAGCTAGATTGGATGCAGTTATCTGAGTTGACCAGGCATTGGGCCAAGCCTTTCCTGAAATGCACGAAACATCAGTTCCTGTGTCTAGCAATCCCTTTATAGGTGCTCCCTGTACCAATAAAGTTTTTATTTACAAGGTTTTTTTTTTAAAGATTTATTTATTTATTTTATGTATGAGTACACTGTAGCTGTCTTCATGCACACCAGAAGAGGGCATCAGATCCCATTACAGATGGTTGTGAGCCACCATGTGGTTGCTGGGATTTGAACTCAGGACCTCTGGAAGAGCAGTCAACGTTCTTAACCACTGAGCCGTCTTACCAGCCCCACCAATAAAGTTTTAAGTACTCTTGTCTTGGTAATTTCTTGTACCCAAAATACCATATTACTAGACCCAAAGACAGCGTCTCCTCTTTCTAGGGTAGTAATAGAATTTCCTTTCCTAATCAATGGGACGAGAAGCAACTGAGCGATTCTTTGTCCTGAATGAATTTGTAAGGTGACGAGGGGGGACTATCATAACCCGAATTTCACCAGTATAGTCAGATCAATAACCCCGGGAATCACATGAATCTCCTGAAGAGATGTAGAACGCCAACCCAAAACAAGACCCATAGAGTCAGATGGCAGGGGGCCATAGACTCCCATAGGTATTAATGTAGGCCGGGAGTCCTCAGTTAGGTCCAATCCTGCACTCCCTGGGGTGGCACAGAACAAGGTGTCAATTGTTCACCTGTCTGGCGAACGGATTATGTTGGCAGGAGGTCCCTATTGTTTGAGGGGCTCAGGACTGGGCCTGCCATTGGTCTCCCTGCTGAGGGGCTGTGAGAGGCTGTCCATCTCTATGAAAATGCAACCTGCACTCCGAGTTGCCTATGAAATCCTTTTTGGCAATGAGGACAAAGAGTAGCAGGAACAGTTCCTGAAGGCATTGGAGGCAGCTTTGCAGGAGCAGGAAACTGACTTCTGGAGGACAGACTCATCCAAAATGCCCCTGCTGTCCTGAGGCCATTCCCTTCATTGCTGCAGCAAATGCCATACCCTGTATCACAGCAGGGGAACATTCAGCACAATAGCGAACAAAATCTCCAAGAGTGGATCCTTTTCTTCTGCCTTGGAGTAAAGCCTGGTGATTTTTATTAACATTTTCATAGGCTGATTGTTTAATAACTATGTCAGCCGAAGGTCTCTCAGGGATGGTCTTTCCTACCACCTTCACTTGTCTGGTCACAAAATCAGCACAAGGTTCCTCGTTTCCCTGCTTACCCTCAGCCCAGGGAACAATCTTAGCATCACCACTGCCCAGAGCTCTCCAAGCTCCAACAGTACTAGCAGTGATTTCTTTAAGGACAGGAGCTGGTATAGCCAATTGAGCGTCCAAAGTAGTCCATTTGCCCAGGCCTGCATAGAGAGGGAAGCCTTTATAAAGGGAGGTCTTTATCCTCCCATTCTTGGGGTTTTATCCCCTTAGACTGCAGAAGTTCTCTAATTTCATCCCTGTATCCAACTTTCCACAACAGAAATTGGCCTCCTGAAAGGCAGAATCTTGCCAATGTTTGCCAGTCAGAGGGAGGCATAGGGGTACCTGCTAGATTTTCCACAAGAGATAAAATGTACAGAGCAGCAGGCCCGTATTTAGGCACTCCCTCCTTTAATTCCTTAATCAGCTTGTAAGGTATGGGCTCCCATTTGGGGTCTCCACTCTCTGACAGGATAGGAAAGCGTTGAAAAAGAGGATCCCCCGACACACTCTTTTCTAGATTCTTTGGAAGCAGCAGCCAATTGGGACGTAGGAAGTCTGCGCCAAGCATTAGAGGGGGCCAATCAGGATTATGATATTCAGCTGCTTCTTCCTCTAAACCAAAGGCATCCCCCGGATCTAGGCGTTCATTGTCCTCAATTTCTGAAGAGTCAGGGGAAGTATCACCAATTCCACCACGTAATTTTTTTCACGAGAGGGCCGAGACCAACGTTTCTTAGGTTTTGAAATTAAAGGTGTACACTTTCCAGCCACACTCCCAAGAGGAGAACCAGAGGGTGAGTTTGTTAAGTCAGTGACCTCTGACCTCTGCACGGTTAAAAACTTGTGTAACCACATTTTCTGGGACCTTGTCCTCCTCATCTGGATGTTCAAGAATCTATTATTTAATGTCTTTCCCTACTTTTTCCCAGGCTTCCTCATCTAATGTACCTTTCCCAGGAAGCCAAGGACTAGTCTTTTTAACAAACTGCATGAATTCATTCAAATGTTGTTGCTCAAAATGAATACCCTTTTAAAATAATAATCTCTTTCATATCTTTTTATACATCACTCTCTCGGAAGATTCACTTTGGCCCATAATGAGTCAGGGGAAAAGGAACCATTACCCGCTCCTTCTTCCAGCCTTAATCTTTGACCAGGGCTGGGGTGGGGTCCACGGAATTCCCAGAGTGGGGTTTTTACCATGTTGAATCCTGCCTTCTACTTATCCTAAAGGTCCAAGAGCCCCGTGTTTGAGCATCACCTATGCTGGGGTCCAGCCTTGACAAGAGTCAGAGTTGTCAGGGTCGTCAAGGACAGAATAAGGAAACACACAATTGAGATACAATACTGACAGGCTGTTTTTTTTTGGAGTGTAAGGCCTTGAACTCAGGAGTCAGGATGCCCACCTAGACTTGACTCAGTCCCAGTCTTTTATTGAAATCATACAAGGAAACTGGCTTACAAAATTCTTAGGGGGGGTAGGTAAATACTTCCCTATTTTCCTGTGCCAACATTTTCTTGTGACAGAGAGTAATACAGATTTAGAACAAAAAAGGGGAACTAAACAATCTTAAGACATAAAAGTTTTACAGCAAACACAATTTTTTTTTTATATCTCCCAACCACCAGTCTCTGATGAGGTTCGAGGCAGCAGTATTGCAGTTACAAAGTCAGTATCTTTCAGACATGTGTGAGACAGGATAGTTTCATAAAAGGGCAAACACGAGGTCATACTGCTGACCCTTCAGTCTATAATTTTTGGACCCTATCTGTCTGTCTACAAAAACATCCTTACCCAACCTGTATGGAGAATTCCTAGGGGCCTGCCACCATTGTCCCTGAACCTAAGGAACCCATTGCTAACTTTCTGAAAATATCTGTATATTATTCCATCCTCAATTTAATGATACAAATATCTTATTTTTATTATACAGAATTGAGACTGAGACTGGGGGAACGGCTGCAGACTTACTCATCTCTGCCCGCGGCTCTAGGTTTCTTCCATTTCCACCTAGAGTGAGTGGCTGTGACATAGATTTCTCTTGAATTCATAAACAGCCTTCACTTTTACTGGTAACATCTAGTTCCTGGATACTAAGCGGGGTCCTACTAGGTCTTGCCAGGTCACCAAATACCAGTTTAATCAAGGAAGGAGGAAAGAAAAAGAACAGTAAATAGAGAATGATAAGTACTAAGAATGATTGCAGAAACGTCATTTGAGGTGCTTGTGCCAAAGAAACAGGCCTGGGGCCTCTTAGTACTCATACTGGGGTCCACAAGAGGCCATGGCCTCGCACTCTGAAACACGGTACCCCTGCCAGGTTTTTCTTCCTTGTCATTAGGGGTCCCAGACATCTCGCTTGATGCAGGGTGTCTCCAACACAAGCAGGAACTGATCAAGGCAGAAACTGATACTGAAGCCATGGAGGGGTGCTGCTTACTGGCTTGCTCAGCCTGCTCTCTTACAGAACTCAGGACCAAGGCCCAGGGATGGCACCACTCACAATGGGCTAGGCTCTCCCCCATCAACCACTAAATAAGAAATGCCCTACAACCGGATCTTATGGAGGCGTTTTCTCAGTTGAGGCGTTCTCCTTTCAAGTTGACATAAAGCTGACCAGGACACTTCCCCACCCTTCTCCCCACTGGATGAGTGGAGCTGCCCTGCACTGGGCAAATGAGGACATTCCTGACCACTCCCGCCCTGGGTTTGGCTCCTGCTCTCATGGCAGACACTGAAAATCACAGGCTATGAGAATTGGAGCCCAGTTTGTCCCAAACCGATTTTAGATCTCTGCACCATCTCTAGGGTATACTCTAGGATGCTCATCTCTAGGGCCAGCCAGTGCTCCAGCTAAGGCTGAGAGAGATAGCACACACTAGGGGTGGTAGAGCAGCCCCTCAGGGACGAGATTTGGAGCCATGTCAGAGCCTGGCAGTCTCTGATTATGACATACCCTCCGCTCGCAGGCCTTGCCCAGGCAACTGCAATCACCAACCACAGCATCCTTTGGGTTTGACCTACTGAGCACATGACCCTCAATTAGTCCTGGCAGCATCCCCTGCCCCTCCTGCTTACATCAGGGGCTCAGGCAGTGGATATAAATGGTACTGGAGGTTGAAGGGTGCAGAACAGACAAGTCCCATATAGCAACTCGGTGCAGACCTAGTAGTCACCATGAGGACCCTCTCTCTGCTCACTCTGCTGGCCCTGGCTACATTCTGTCTCTCTGACCTAGCAGGTATGTGTCCTCCTGGTTCATTTCTTAGGGTGACTGCTCCCCCCCCACCTCCATGGTCTCGGAATCTGCTTTGGGATGGCAAAGGGGAAGAGACAAACCAGGGAGACAGCAGGGAAAGAACAGAATTAACTATGCACTGTTTTCTTTACAGATGCAAAGCCCAGCGACTCTGAGTCTGACAAAGGTACTGGCAGGGAGCCCGGCAGAGCCCAAGCCTTGCCCCTTACCCTGTCCCCTAAGCCCCCAGGTCCCCCAGCCTTCTGCCTGGGTGTCCCCACTTCTCCTCCCAAACCCAGACTTACCTGATTCCGTGCCACTGCTCCACAGCCTTTGTGTCCAAGCAGGAGGGCAGTGAGGTGGCAAGCAGACCCCGGCGCTACCTTGGGTAAGTGGGAAGCAGGTACTGGGCCAGGGCCCTTTGCCTTCCATATTGGTGGGGAGGAGTTGTGCTGGGGTGGTCTCTGAACTGCTGAGGGCTATACAGTGCAGGTCAATCCCATGCCCAGGACCCTGGAGCCTCTTGTACAGTGGGAAGAGGTTGTGTACCCCATGTTGGTTGATGATGATACTGTGTTCTCAGAGCCCCAGCACCCGCCCCAGACCCCCTGGAGCCCTCCAGGGAGGTGTGTGAGCTCGACCCCAACTGTGACGAGCTAGCAGACCAGATCGGCTTTCAGGAAGCCTACAAGCGCACCTATGGTACCACTGCTTAGGGCATGTGTTGCCCTAGAGCCAAGCAGCAGCCTCAGCTTTGGCGACTCTCCAGGACTCGACCCTCCCTGTTCCCTCTCTCTGCCCTGCACGTATGGATGGCACAGCTGCTCCAAAATAAAGTCCAGATGAGGAACCATTGGGCTCGAGTCTGTCCATTGTGGTGGTGGTAGGGGGTCAGGGAGGCTTCACATTCAATCCCAGAGAGCTGCAGTCCCGTTCATCTGCCTCTTTATTATACTGCTTTGTGAAGGACAGGACAGGAGGTGGCTTCCTAAAGTCCTGCAGCCCACCTCCCCGACAGCCATCCCCACCATAACCATTAGCTCACCAGGGACACATCCAAACATACAACTCAGCAAAGGCCTGGTCACAGTGGTGAGTGGCACAGCCCTCTCATGTGTAGACAAGGAGTTGCTGACCTGTGGCACAGTCTGGCCCTGGGGCAGGCTGGGTATGTGGCCCCGATGGAACAAGCTCTCAAGATGATCTGAGATGAGCAGGTTCCAGGGCGGCAGGGGCCCCATGAAAGGCCTCAAATCCCCCACTCTGCTCCTGCCTGGTACCTGTGTGCCCTCACAGGCCTTCACCCCGTGCTTCTTGGGTTGTCCGTCCTTCCACCAGTCCCTAGAGAGCCTCTTCTCTTCAGCCACCCCTTTCAGGATCAGAATAGCTGCCACCTTCTCAGGCCCATGTCAGGGCTCCTCCACAGCAATGAGGCCTGGCCTCTGCCTCCCTCCACACCCACAGGCCTCACTGTTGTTTAGCTTGGAGTCCCTCTTCAAGTGGGCTAGCCTGCAGCAGGGGGCAGGTTCCAGGGATCCGCAGCAAGAAGGCTGTGAAAGCCATGATGATGAGCAAGTTCCCAATCATTGCCAGGCTCAAGGTGGCTACGGTGGCCTCCAGGCCCAGGGTGGGTTCCTGCATGGCTAGCCAGGCTCTGCGGGATCCCATATCAGCCAGAACTGCTTCCAGCTGGAAGTGGGTGCCCAGCACTGCACAGATGTGGAACAGCTGGTGGCTGTGTCCTGAATGCAGACAGACTGGTTAGGTAAAGACCCATCCCACCTTTGGACAGAGTCACTTGTGATCCGGGGCAGTCACCTGTCTCTTGGGCTTGAGAAGGAGAAAACCTGACCCCCTCCTAGAGGCTCTGGGAGAATAACTGGACCAAGCTGCATAAAGCCCTAAATTCTGTCATTGCTGAGCCTGGGGAGGGGCTGGGACTTGGAGGGGGGGGCGCGGGATATCCCTTTGGCTTTATCATGCATGCCCTGGCTAGGATACCCCATGTCCCTAGCTCACTCCATGTTCCCAGCTCACTCTGCAGTGTCCCAGGCCGATGCTCACCAATATAGTCGAAGCGCCCAGGTGCCAGGCGTTCCGGTAGACGGGCTGCAAAAAGGAAGCCGGTGAGCAGAGCGCAGAGGAGGTGGTAGCCATGGCTGGCGCTCAGTGCATCCCGCCCACAGCTGTGGGCCCTGCCCCAACACAGCCGCAGCTGGTAAAAGAAAAGAGAGCTGCCGGGAGTGGCCTTGGGAGAAGAAACCCGGGTACATCTATCTAGGATGTATCTGGTGGGAGGAGGGATGCTGAGGGGGTGGGCACCAGGGGCCCGCGCCTGGAGGGTAGGCAGAGAGCTGAGGTTAGAGATGGGGGCCACCGTGAGGTCAAGGTAGTAGGTAGAGCAGGGTCTGAGGAGAGCCCTGGTGCCCTTACCCTGTAGAACAGGGGGAGGTTGTCAAACATGAAGGGGTAGGCAAAGGCGGCTGTGCGGAGAGCCTTGCTGAACCCCGGCTTTTCTAGCTCTGGGAACCTGAGAGGCAAGAAAAGCAGGTCGGTATCCACTCCTGGGTGAGTATAGGTCAGGAAGAGATTTATCTGGGGCCAAAAGGGGTGAAGGACCTCAGTGGCTACACTCAGAAGGCAGGTGTGTTGGGGCATGCCTGTGACCCCAGCATTGGGAGGTAAAGGCAGGAAGATCAAGACCCTGTTTCAGCCAGAGGGTGGAGTATGTGTGTGTCTGTGCTCTCCTTTAGTCCCAGCACTTGGGTGGCAGAGGCAGGCGGTGGATCTCTGAGTTTGAGGCCAGCCTGGTCTACAGAGTTCCAGGGCTACACAGAAAAACTGAAAAAAAAAAAAAGAAGAAGAAAAGAAAGAAAAAAAAGAAAAGGAGTAGAATAGGGTCTGGTGGGATAGCTTTTCAGGTATGGTACATACACAATAAATATATGTTTACATGTTATAAAAAAATATAAGAGAAGGCCCTCAGGACGTAGGATCCCTGCTCATTGTAAATGTCACATCTGTTAAGTGGCCATAAAGACATAGCATAAATTGGCCATAAAGGATAGTGTACTGGCCAACAGTAAGGCCTCGTACTGGATAGGGTACAGGATACTGGGGTGGCTCAATAACAGTGGGGTGAGCTCTGCCTACCCTTTCCGACACTGGGGATGCCCAGAACCCACCGCGAGTAGCAGGAGAGGCCGGTGCACAGGAAGGAGTTGAGCGCAGCAGCAGGCACGAAGAGCTGGTGTAGGCGGCTGTGCAGCCAGGAGGCCGGCATGGAGTAGGCGGCATAAGGGAAGGCGCAGCCTGTGGCGAGGTGCGAGCTGAGACTTGCGGGCTCATCCTCTGCACCCCACTCCTACCCACTGCCCTCAGCTCACCCAGGCTGTAGAGGCTGAGCGCCCCGTAGTCCAGGAAGTAGCAGATGTGCCGAGCACGGGGCGACATGGAGCTAAAGGTGTGCGCGCAGCAGGACGCGAAGGGATAGAGGCAGGCGGGCAGTAGGAAGACCAGCAGCGGAAGGTGGTACGGCTCCGCGCGGAAGCCCGGGCTGCCCAACGCCAGGAGGCGCCACAGGAAGTACCTGTGCCAGGCACCTGCTCAGGCGCTGGGGCCGCAGTGCACCTGCCCACCTAGCACCCGTCTGAACCTAAGGCCGAGCCTTTGCTCACCAGGTGGGCAGGAAGTGAGTCCAGATGTTGACCGTCTCATTAGTCATCTGGAAGGAGCTGAGGACACAGTCTAAGGCAGAGCTTGTGGGGCATCGGTAGCCAGACATGATGCCTTCTTCCCAAAACACCTGGGGGTGGGGAGCAGATGAGTCATCATATGCAGGCCTTTCCCCTTCATGAAAAATGTCTGGTAGCCGGGTGTAGTGGTACACGCCTTTAATCCCAGCACTCGAGAGGCAAAGGCAGGTGGGTCTCTGTGAGTTCGAGGCCAACCTGGTCTACAGAGCAAGTTCCGGGACAGCCAGGACTACACAGAGAAACCCTGTCTCGAGAAACAAAAAACAAAATAAGAAGCGTCTGGAAACATGCTAGAAGATGCACTAGAGATCACTGTGGTCCCAAGCCAAGCACAACCCAACCTCTTATCAGCCTTCCAAACCCACAGGGCAAACAACAGAATCAGAATACTGGGATCAGATAGGATGGGGGAATACACACCATACACACACACACACACACACACACACACACACACACACACACAGGGTGCACAGGGTGTTCTGCAGAAGGGGATTCTGGGTGGAGGGACGTTTAGGAATGCGGGTAGAGGTCACAGGTTCTATATTGAAATGGAAAGGTAAGAAAGTTAGCTTGCAGGAGGAAGTTCCCTAATAGCTAATATGAGAAAAATCTCTGCTCCTCTGAGGAGGAGCAAGGTTGATGGGTTGGGGCCCCTCACCCGGGGGACCTGATGGACTCGAAGGAGTTGAGGCAGCTTGAGACTGAGCATGGTGGCCCGGTACCTCCACGTTGACCTGGAGACAGAAGGTCAGGGATTGGCACCCATCCAGTTTCCTATGACCAGATTCAGACTAGAGTCAGCCACACTGGTGGCCCCTTTTCCCTCCTGGCCCTAGCCTGGGGCATCCAGTCCTGCTTCAGAAGTCCTCAGTCTCTGCAGGTCTGCAGTGAAGGGCTCCCAGCAGCGAGGCTCCCTCCTATTAGTAACCCCATTTGCGCCTCGGCCAGAATCCTGACTCCAGGAGGCCCCACGTAGAGGACCGAGACCTCCACACGCAAAATTGATGCCCTCGAGAAAATTGCTTAAGAAGGGCAAGGAATTAGAGGGTGTCGTCCTCTTCTCGAAGGATACCACTTGTCCCCTTGGGAGTACTCTGAGTCCCTGCCCCTCCTGGGTCCCGTGCCCCTCAGCCCAGACCTGTTTGCCGCGTCCGAGTGGCTTCGACTCCGCCTGCCCCGCCCGTCTCTTAGCCGCCTCGCCCAACACATTCCTTGGCACCGGCGGAGGGGCGGGGCGAATGAAGCGGGCGGGGCCACTGACCTAGACCGATAGGACCCTTTCTCCTGTCTCAGACTAAAACTTCCCAGCAACTCCACCCTCTCTTCCTGCCTCTAGTCCCGCCCATTCTGGAGTCTTTCTGGGATCTAGGGGGCTTCACAATCAGTTTGTCCTCTGAGATCGATGTTGAGGATCTTGCTCAGTTTAACAACACAAACCTGGTCTCCAGACCCTTCATCCCAAGTGAAGATGAGGTGTAGGAGACGCCTGCGCTGATTGCTGTCCAGCTGCCCCGGGAAAGGCTGAGATGAACCGGGGAGAGGTCCCTTTGCCCTCAGCAATAGGGTCTCTGAGATCTCTGTTGCAGTAAGGAATGCAAGGCTGGACAGGTGCTTCACCCTCCATTTCCCCAGATGCTGCATTACCCAAGAGATTGCCCGCGCTCCCAGCCAGACTGACTGGACTTCACAGGCAGAGTATGGTTCCTGCCACTCAGATTGACAGAGAAAAAAGTGGCTGAGGATATGGGCCAGGCCTGGCAGAGTGGAGAGACAGGGCGAAGCTGGGGAACAATCTTAGCCTTGTCTGCCAGTCATGGGGCAGCACGGGGTGGCCCAGCCCCATTAGCAGGCAGCTCACTTGGCCTCCTGCACACAGCCAGCCCTTCAGGGTTACTGTGCTGTCTACATCAGGCTAGGAGCCCAAGCTGGGATCTAATCTCCTTTGACTACGACACTGGCCTGAGTCTCCCAGAATCTCCAGAACCAATTGCAGCTGTATCTCTCTCTTTTTTTTTTTTTTTTTTTTTTTGGTTTTTTGAGACAGAGTTTCTCTGTATAGCCCGGGCTGTCCTGGAACTCATGCTGTAGACCA